AGAAGACGGGAAGCACGCCGGCGAGTCGTAGTCGACATAGGCCAGGGAGCATCACCGGAATCTGCAGTTTTATCAATAAAGCACGACGAAATTTCTTCGTGCTTTATTGATAAAACTGCAGACTCCTGTGTGAGCATTAAGGACACAATAATTCAGGAGCACCGTCAACGTTGCAATACCTGAACGTGTAATTCAGCCAATAAAGTTTAAATCCTCAGTAGCTTCTGATATTTTATTTCTTTCATTATACACATACATTCAAACATATTTCAAGAACTGTCATCAGTTTTCAGATTCATCAGTCAGAAGCGAGAATACATGAATCATGTGAAGGTCTCAGATTAGAAGGTCTTGCGAATCGTGCTCACTACACATGATGGTAATATTTTTATATTTTTTTTACCTTGTGTATTCTACACCCTACGGAAAAATCGTCTATATGATATGTGTCGGTAGACTCTAAAAGGACAAAATAATTTACTGAATAGTATAGTTATTGCACATAATTTCACAACAATTCAATCACTTTATACATGGCTACGTGGTATTTACTTTTTAACAGATTGGTTTATGGAGCCTTGGAAGAGGTGGGGGTGTAACATGTGCTCTCTCTCTCTCTCTCTCTCACACACACACACACACACACACACACATTTTCTCTTCCGAGAGCCACTGAGATTTTCAACAAATATTCCATTCTTGGTTGGACATTGGAACACATTTACTACACAAGCACCTGTGTGGAAAAAAAAGGCTAAAATTATTTGAGAAACTATTGCCTGTTTGATATTTTGAATGTCCATTTCTTTGACGAGCATTCATCCAATTATGACATGTACAAGTCCATATAAATAGCTGTTGAATTAGAAGGTCTTGCGAATCGTGCTCACTACATATGATGGTAATATTTTTATATTTTTTTTACCTTGTGTATTCTTCACCCTACGGAAAAATCGTGAACACCAATTTCCAGCCTACCCCCCCCAAAAAAAAAAAAACTGGCAAGAAAAACTCTGATCTGTAATATAAACTTGTTTTGACTTAAACGAAAATGAAAAGAAAGAAGAAGAATTAATGAAACAAAAAAAATCTGAAAGAAATCGTAATCGGTAGAAAATTAAAGCCCTCTCCCTACCCGGTTTATTGATTAGATTTTGTACTGCTATTTAGTTTGGCATTTAAAATTAAAGGTAATTTATAATCATCGTCATTGTCAGAACCTGACGATTCCTGTACATCTTTGTCACACGAATTTGTCTCGGGTTCATACATATAAGGTTGGATGTTCATGAAATATTCTACTTCTGGATTGTCATCCACATCACTGACAATCGACATAATTTAAACATTCAAGTACAGCCAACTTATAGAATGATTGACTGTATTATCATAGGAGTCTGCAGTTTTATCAATAAAGCACGACGAAATTTCTGACTACATGAAATTACTTTAACGGTAATATAAAATAATTATTTTTTAATACTGTTAGGTGATTTCATGTTGTAAAAAATTTCGTCGTGCTTTATTGATAAAACTGCAGACTCCTGTGCTATTATCAACAATGCCAGCGTGTAGTGCCTCAAATGACGTCACATCCGCTAATTGTTCAGGGGAAGGGAAGTGCGTTAGTTTATTCAAGACGGATCGGGAGAGATTATCTGTTTTTCATAAATTTCTTCGTAAAAGAGTAAAAAAGAAAGGTACAAATTTTCAGAAAATGAAACTTATATATAAGCAAATTATATACGGAGTTTGAGCAAATTTCAGTTTTGCATGTTTGTCCCCTTTAAGTTACACGACAAAAAATGAAGTGAATACTGCAAAAGTATAATTTGTATTTTATGCTGAAATTGTTGTTTGTGCTGTAATTGTAACATTGCAACCGCACTATTAGTGAAGAGAACACCCCACAAGCTTTCGAGCTGGCAAATAAGTCTCTTCAAAGTTAGGTTACTCCGCTTGAACTAGAAATATTCTGTCAGCTCAGTGCGCATGTCCACCTTTACACCACGGCTTGTAGGTCATTGATGCCTGTAATCTATCGTTATTAACTGAACTGTTGGTGAACCAGAAATATGCAAATTAATGCAAGCCCTACACTGTTATTGTTTTTTTTTTTTTGCGTATATCAGTAGATACGAATTTTCCGTAAGATGTAAATGAATATGCCTGGCTTTAGATTGACATTTTATGTTTACAAAACATTTCTTGACAAAGGTACAAACATCATGTCCGCTGAAATGTTGTTTGATATGGAGACACTTTAAACGTTGTCAGTCAGTACGATTTCTTACGATAATTATTCTTCTCACAAGGATCAAAGCAGTGCAAGTGAAGAGGTATAATTATGCAATCTGTTGTTAATGGGCGATAACTCGGCGTCAGTATATCGAGCGGGCTTTTAAAATGTCGATCGCCAACTATACATGGCAAAGACTATAAATTATTGTTAAGTTCTCTCGAATTATTCGTTCCCAGTCCACCCTCGGCCAAAACACAT